AAATATCAACAACAACAAACAACCATTAACATTACATTCAATTTAAGATTATGCATCAATCCGGACTAAACGAGGTATTCAAACTACTATACAGATTGAAGCCATCAAATAATTCAAATTTCTATAGTTAAGCAACAATTCGGACTAAACGAGGTATTCATATTTATAATACAGATTCAATGCATCAATATTTAACACCATTGAAATTCATTTCGGACTAAACGAGTTATTCAAACTGCGGCTAATTCTATAGTTATGCATCAACTAAATCCGGATTAAACGAGGTATTTGATACGTGCCTCGACAAACAGAGAGTCGCGCAATGAGCAGAGCTGTCTTTGGGTCAAGTCCAGAAAAGCCATCTGTTGGAGAGCGACATTTCTCGTTCTCAGCGCGGCTTGTTAAAACCATGCCCAAAACTGGATGCAAATACGCTCATATTACTTCTTCTCTCATTCTTCAACCTCCATCCATAATCAGATGAAGAAAAAAAGAAACAAAACTCAGTTTCCCTTCATTTCATACACGTTCAAAAAAAAAAACAAAAAAATTATGTAGAACCAATCAAATCCATCACTTTCTAATGATCGACCGGATCCGACCGTCAATCAGAAACCCATTTAAGGGTATGCATCGGTTCACTCAAAAGACGCCGGCGCTTCTTGCATAATTCCCAACAATTACGCAATTGCGTTACGCGAATGTAAAGAAAATCTGAATCTGAATTATCTGCAAAATCAAATATGATGAATCGAAATTCCGATCTTTCGAATTATAGAGTTTATTAATAATTCAGAGAACGACGCTGATTTACGGTAAATCAAACGTGATTCTACGCGATGCAAATTACATAAGGTAAATAGCGACACGTCTCGTACTAAGAGAAAATAAATAATAAAACGATGAAAACACTGCAAATTTCTAATAAGCAAAAGTACACTCGCATGCATATTTCATTCTGTAATGATTCTGTAGATTCACTAAGAAATGCTTTAGATTCAATCTTCAAAAACCTATTGGAAAGTTTTATCGATAATTAAAAGTTAACATTGCAATTTGTATCAATGATACAAGTTTAATAAATTAATCAAATAAAGTTAACCAAAAGTTGTCAATTAAATAATCAAAGTTTAATAAACCATGAATGAAATCTGTTAATTTAAAAATTTCAAATTTATATATGCTTTTTAAGAGACTGTTTTAATCAAGAATTTGTAAATTATTTCAAAGTAAGTGTAATTGTACAAATTTACGACAATCAATCAATCAAGTCGCAGACTCTGTATTTCAATTAATGATCTAACTGAGTCGAAGCTCCGTTAACCGAAGATTTCCAACTAAACCAATTGCTTTCAAGAATCCAAAGGAAATTGTTAACATTCTGCCCATTCACAAATGGACGTTGGAATTCAGGTTTAATGAATTTAATATCGTGATACATAAATCTTTCCTGCCTCAATCGAAAATCCTCAATTTGCAGGATCGATCGATCATCAAAAGAATTGTAAAAAACGCGATATTCTTCAAATTTTAAAACGAATCATTGCAAATAAATATATTATAAGTTTACTAAAACCTTATTCTTTAACATCTCAAAGTTATATTATTAGAAATTAATCTATTAGTTAACACAATGATGGAAATACAAGCTTAAAACTTATTGAAATTGAAGATTTTTTCATAAATCTTAACGAAATATTATTAAACAATCATTAATAATTAGTTATAGTTAAATCAATTGGAATTTCTGATTGCAAATTTTATTGTTATTTTTCTTATTGTAATTGAGCAATTGCTAAACGATCGAGAAAGCGATGTACGCACTTTATGCATTTCCACGTGCATTGTTTGCTTTGATGTTGCGAAACAAACGTAGCTGCAATTGAGTATAGACTTTGGTGCAATCGATGCGAGTGATTTCATTCATCGACAATTTGCATGTGCAAAAATTATAAACAGATTTCGAAAATTGGTTCGACTTTTGGTTTTCCTTTTTCCTGTTTCAAAATTCATAATAATGGCTTTTAGTCATCGACGATGATTCAGTTATTTGCTGCTTAATCATCTCCTACCCAACTTTATCTTGTCGACCACAAAAATAAAAGATAATATGACTTAAGTTTCGTAACAAATTGGTTTGATAATTTTTTGGTCAGCTTAAATATTTGTGTTCCAAATGAAAAATTTGTATACTTTTGTATAATTGTAAACATTTCAAAATTTTATGAATTACAATAAAGAATGAAATAATTTAATAGAAATACAATAAAATCAAACGTGCTATGAAAATCAAATTCTAAAAAAACAAAAGAAAATCACATTAGAATCTACTAGATCTTGATTGATTCCCATATGAAAATATTACCAATAATTAAGAAAAATTATAATAAAAAATTTTTTTGATGCAAAATATTGACAATGGAAACATTATAAATAAATCTATTATAAATTTAACTCTTCTGATAAAAATACACTTTATTGATAATAAAAAAAAAATAATTCGAGCTGCGCCGCCCGAAAATTTATTTTTAAAATCGCCAAATTTGTGCGGCACAATTTCCATTTTGCATTTATTTATTTTTACACACACACAAACTTTTCCTTTCTCTATTTGTTTTTTTTTTGTTCGTTGAAACTTTAAACCCAAACAGATTTTCTCTAAAAAAGAAAAGACTACTTCTTTTCATCACTTTATATAGATATTATTACATTCCTTGGTAATTCTATACGCAATTCCCATTTATAAAGAAAACGTATATTTTCTGTTCATTTCTTATTTCAATTTCGTTTTGTATAATAGTTTATACACTTCTAATTAAAAATTAAATTAAAATTTGTTAAATAATTAAACTTCAAGTAAAAGTTGAAATTTTCAATCTATAAAAAGATTTGAAAGTAAATTTGTAAATCAATATGTAAATTGTTAAATTGTATAAATAATAAGGAAAAACGTGTTACGTCTTTCTGTTTGTATAAATTTAGGGAATTCGATGTGTTTAGTTTCGTTATTTTCGGCTCTGGACTCAATACAGTCGTTTAAATTTAGACCAACTGACACGAATGTAGTGCAGATTCTTTTACATAATCTATTAGTTAATTAATAATCTTCAGTAGTTCAAATTCAATTTAGTAGTTCAAATTAATGATAATTATAAAAATCTAATCTACTTAGTGTTTAAGAAATTCAATAGAAATGTAGAAATAAAAAAATCATATTTATGGCTGCAAATTCAATCAATTATAACATTGCCACGATTGTATGAAAATTTTCTATATTTTTCTTTAAATAATCTCTAAAATAATAAATTATATACATGAAACAAATAGTTAATAGTTTAAGAAATTTACTATATAAATTTTACTAAAGATTGAAAGTTAATGTGTACAAAAAAAAATTGAATCAACAAGTGATCTTAATGAAATATACATGGGTTAGTTAGAAAATTGATTAATTTTCATTTTGCAACTTGTGTTGCATAATTTCTGTATAAATTTATTTGAAAAAATTGAGTATGAAAGTTGTGAATTTGCTAAAGTTTGACAGTTGAAGTCGATATAAACAACCTGAGGATACTTTGATTGAAATTTTTCATTAAAAAAAAATGATTTTTTCCATAAAAAAAAATCCATTTTGTTCATAAAAATGTTGAATCTCTTAAATAAGTACCTACCTTAAGGGTATTTTGGGCCGAAGGGAGATTTTTTTTAAAGTAAAGGAGAACCGCTCGTCGAAGCTGTTCACTCGCGAATGCTCTCAATCCGAAACGGATTTGATGATATATAAATGCCGTTTCGCGACTTTATTTTTGGTATTTTCGTGTGCTGTTTACTCTATCTACGTAAGATCTATGTTATAAATCTGATCCTTACACTAAATATATATATATTATTTGTATTTGGTGATGGGATTAATGCTGTATTCTGTTTATATATATAATTGGAAATATGCTTGCTTTTGGTATGGTAAAATGGTGTATAGTTTTTTTTTTGTTGTTGTATTATACACAATGTGTATATGGAGATTGTAATTGGAGGTGTACTTACGGTGAACGCGGCTGTAGCACACGGTCTCGGGGCGACTGAACACTAGGTGCGAGCTATCAGTTTACGTAGAGCACACCATACCGGGTACGACCCCCCCATCGGTACCTCCAGAAATAGCGACGCTAATTTCAGACGCACACCCGACGATCCTCAAAATGTTTTTTTCCACTGATTCCGAGGCTTCCCTCCTCCTCCTCCACCTCCTGGCTCCCACCTACCTCACCTCTCCGCTATCCTAGTCAGTCCTGACCGTTCCATAGGAAACGAGATCACAATCCGAATCGAAATTATATCAATCTTTACACATCGAATCTGTAAAATAAAAAAACAATACAAAATTATCGAAGAAATTAAACATCTTCAAGTGATTCAATTAATTGTAATTATTAAATTATTCACAAACTTTCATTGATAAATAATTTTCTTTAAGAAATTTGCCTATTACATATTCATTAGATAAAATTTCACATAATCTCTAAGAAAACTGAAAAATTACATAACATATTGAAAAAAAAAATATCAAAGATAAAAGTAAACTTTGTCAAAATTAAGTAAAAGTTTGACAAAGTCAATTGAAATTTGAGGAATCATGCAGAGTTTAAGGAATTTAATTACAATCTTTAGATATTGTTAATAAAATAAGATAAGCTTTAAGAAATGAATTAAATTATGTTCGATTAAGTCTTCAAATTATAAAAAAAAGTTCCAGTCAACTTATCGAGTTTAAAATAAATTTCAAAAATTAATGAAAGTTTTATAAATAATATCAAGAAACGACTTAAGTATTTCAAAACTTTGCTTACTTAAGACATATTCATTTTTTAATATTTACTATGAAATCTATATAAAAATTATGAAAACTGTGATCAAGAATGCGAAATTAATCAAGAAACATTAAACAAATGAAAACAAAATAATAATTGCAAACAAAAAATATAGTAAAACTGAAAATATGACTTTCTTTTTTGAAGAATTAATTA